TAATGTAATAGACTGAATTCTCCACAGACACAGGTTGAGAGAAAAATGGTTGTAACTTTGTGCCATTTTGTGCCTTTGGGAAGACTAAAGAGACTCTCATTTTTACTTTAGTGTCTTGTACACTTCATTACCCTGAATCGTCTTTTTTATTCTCTTTCTTACCTCGCCTCATCCTTACTTTGTTGACTATCGCTTCCCTTCAGATCCTTTTATCTGTCTTCATTTCATTCTCTACATTCACAAGCAGTTTTTGTCAGAAAACGTATATACAGGTACTTGTTCCTCCATTTTCTTTGCCTGTCTCTGCCTTACTCTTTTACTCTTACTGTCATCCATTCGTTGAACCTCTTTTCAGCATTCCCGTATCCCTCAACTCCCTCTCTATCAAATCCAGCCTGTCTCCAACCCTTCTTATCACCGTGCTCCTCCCCTCATCTCTCCCTCTCCCTCCTTATCCCGACCTCTCATCACTCCCTCCTCCTTCCAGCCTCGTTCTCTCTCTGATCCCTGTCCTTCCCTTCTCCTCCACCTCCATGGCCATCCCTCCACCTTCCCCTCCTTCCAGACCTGTATCTGTACATCTCCTCCCCTGCTTGGAGGCGGTCTTCAGTTAAATATTAATTAGTGAGCCCCATCCCGCAGGCTGATAGGGAGCACAATGGAGAATCCCTGCATGTGCCTGCAAGCATCCCACTAATGAAAGGAGTGTGTGTGTGTGTGTGTGTGGTTTGTGTGTAGATGAGAGAGAGAAAGAGAGAGACACTCACAGAGATAGTGGAGAGTGTGAGAGGGGAGAGAGTAAAGAGTGTGTATGTGCATGTGTGTTAGAGATGAAAAGAGACACACCGAGGGCAGATCAAGATTATATGTGCACACATATTTTTATGTGTGTCTATGTGCGCACACGTGTGTGTCTAAAAACAAAGGCCTTGCTCCGTTGGGGGCTAGGAGGGCACAGCTAATGATGTGTGTGTGTGTGTCTGATTGTCATCAGTGTGTTTTCACAGGGTGGACCCCATTCACCAACTGGTTAATCCGTATCGAACCACCAGATATGTGTTTCAAAGCCTGTTTGAAACATCAGTCTGCAATAATGATGCGGCGAGAGAAAAGAGCCTGCTGGAAACACTGTGACTTTGTCCACACACGTGTAGAAAAATATTAATTTAGGTGTGAAATAGCGCAATTAAAAATCAACTGTCCTGCTTTAATCGCATTAAAATGACTTCACCTTACACAAATGTGTTGCTGTAGCAACTAGACACATCTTTAGCATGAATAAAGCAGTGTGTAATACTGTCTTAGAGAGATCAATGTGTCATTATTCTCTACTTCGTGCATTGCTTAGTTGCACAAGCATGCATGACCTTGAAGATAACTGAAACACCTGAGAATACAATGACCCTGCCATGGAATGATCACCAGTTGTTTTTTTTCCTTTCTGGAGACACTGCTGTGAGCGCATTGGGTTCACTCTATGGCTTTTTTGCCGGTTGCAGTGGTCTTCTTTGATAATGTAGTTTTCCTGTATTTTGCATGTAGTACACTTCTCTCCCACATCACATATCATTTCAGGGTTTTATGACTTTGGCACCGGGCAGCGACCACTGTACTGTAAATCATCATTACAAAGGCAGCTATACAATGAGTCATTTTAAGCTGAAAACTAATTAGCAAAGTGTACTTTCTGATAGTCAGCTGTTTCAGCCAAACTAGTGTAGTGATATTAATGTCGATCAGATGGTTTACTACTTTGGTTCAGACTAAAATATGTCTGTGGTACATGTGGTAAATATGGCACAGATCACCATGCTGCCCAGAGGATGAATTCTACTGACTTTGGTGATCATCTGAGTCTTCCTCTAATGTCAAAGTTTTCATCTCAACATTTACTATGCTAGATTTATTGCCCTAAAGTTTGTTAGACATTCATGGTCCCCAGTTGATGACACATTTACTTCTTCTTAAGGCCACAATGAGGTTCAGGCGTGAATTAGTAAATGTTAGTCTGCTAGCACTTGAAACAAAGATGACAAATGGGGTAAATATTACCTGCTAGTATTGTCATTATTAGCTTGAATAGCTGGTTTATCCACTGCAAAAACTAAAAAAATGATATATGTAGCAATGGGAAAACTCTATGAACATTGTGGATTTCAACAAACTGATATTTGCATTGCATTTCAGGGTGTTTCTGTTATTTTGTCCATGTCATTAGAGTCAAATAAGTCCAATTTTACAGATAACTATGTGCTATAAAAAGATGTGGTGCATATGTGGGCCCTTTTTTCTAGGGTGACCTAAATAAACTGATTTATGCAATAACCCAAGATGTAAATGGCCCTTCAGTAAACAGTGTATGTGCTGTATGTGTGTGCACACAGGATGGATGAGTCTTTGTCAGTCTGTCTGCACGGTGAAGGAACAGTAACTGAAGACTTTCCAGGGGTGTGTTACCGAAGGCATGACAGTTTACACCCCCTCTCATTTACAGAGGCGCCACATTAATTCAATCTACTGCAATAGTCACACACACAGACGCGCACACACACACACACCCACAGGGCACTGCCTTAATTTAATCAGGCGGCACAAAGACATACAGATTTTGGAAATTCAAACCATTCGCATAATCAAACATGCAGTAACGCACAGATACACAGCTGAGCCCCTTTACAGATACACACACACACAAAGACACATACACACATAGATATTTTTTCTGAGCACCGGTGTGAGTCTAGTGCCAGACACATGTTAATAAACCTCATATGAACATCCCCCTTCTGCCCCTCCCGTCAAAGTAGCACCAAACCACTAAATAGGACAGGAGACAAAGCAGGGCTGGGCTGTAGGCAAAAACAAACGCACACAATCATGGAGCCAGTGGCCATACACACATACAAGTCATAGACACTGTTCGAAAACAAGCTCACACTTAAACTGAGACTGAACAATTTTCATTAGCTACTTAATAACACAGTATGGTCAGGCCTGTTTGCTCAGCAATGCCAACCATTTTAAAAACAGCTTTTTACATCTTTAACTGAAACTCACAAAAAACACAACAGTAGATATTGCTTGACCAGCCGTGCATCAACATGAAAAATTAATGATGATGGATATTTTATGATAAAGCCTGAAAGATGAATAACTTGCCCTGAATGATTTGTGACTTTTCTTAGTAATTGCTTATTTTCTTTGAGCATATTCAGATCAGATCTTTTGTTGTCTTTCTTTCTGTCTCACTTTGTCCCATTTTCATTTTATGTATGTGTGATACTGTGCGTGCCTGTGTATGTGAGTAAATATGTGTGTGAGCATGCGGATGTGACAAACCGGGGCAGAGTCACTGGCCTGGTCTTTCCCATTATAAGAGGGAACACTGAGGCCGACTCCTGATTTAAACATCAGCTGTCATAAATGTTTCAGAGAAATGGAAGGAGATGGAGGGATTGCTAGCAGCTTTCAGGGAACGGGTGGGGCTGTTGTGGCGTGTTAGAGCGAGAAAAAGGAAAGAAAAAAACAAATTTAGGTGAAAAAACATGTACAAGGATTTGAAGAAAAGTAGGTAGGTTGGGGTTATAAAGCAGACAATGACGACCATGCTTCTCTTCTTTCTTTTTTAAAATCTGAATGCTTGTGAACCTAAAAGAATCAGGCAACATTTGGTGTCAGCATGAGAGTAGTGCTAATGGTCTGAAGTACCAGTTAAAGGGGCGGCCTATAGTGAAAGTCACCCCCCGCCCCTAATCACATAAGAAACGCCTTGTTTTATGTGACCATGCTGCTAAATTACAGTAATTGTAGCACTCAATTGGAACTTATCACTCCCAAAGTGATTGACAGGCCTTAATACACAGCAGAGTTTCCCCACAGTGTTTTATGGTGGAGGTGGGTCACATCATAAAAAAATCCTACACTAAAGGATTATTTCAAACAGCCACATCATTTCACTGACAAAGTAAATTGATGACAAAACAAGATGTCTCTGGATCTTGCTGGCTAAAACGAAACAGCTAAATTGAATTTATGAGATAAATTATATCAGTTATGTTTAGAAACACAGCAGTACAACAAGCATATATTCTTAATTATGAGAAATTGATCCGTCTGTAATCCAAACTCTTTGATTATATCTGCTACTGTAATTTAAATCCTAACAAGGGAGGCAGTGTGGTGGAATTTAACTATAGTCAATTTGTTGCGGTCAGACGAAGTTGGATATATTTGTTTTACAAAAGAAATACAGGTCAGGGTCATAGGAGAAGGCCTTCACCACCTCGCCTGTGATGTAAAATCAATAAAAAATAACGGATCCCTAGAGCTCAACAGTTCAGTCTAACCTTCCCTCTCTCTTTTTCTCCCTTCCTTCCTCCTTCTTTGAGCTTCGCTTTCTTGCTCTATCTTCCTTACTTTTACCTTCAGTTTAAAGTCCAATATCTTGTATTATTGTGTGCTTGTTTGTATATGATATGCATGAATCCCTATCATCCGTCTCCAAGGTCATGAAACAACATCACATGCTCTCTGATCTTTGAGGAGCTCACAACTCGAGTGTATGGCCCCACCTACTGGCTCTAGCACAGACTGCTTGCTAGTGCTGACATTAGCACTGCTTCACTCCAAATTCAATTAGCTAAATGGCAGACTGAATTAGGCTAAATGCAGAGTGAGCCTGCTGAAATGAGCATAACTGTTGAAGACTTGGGGCTAATAATCAGCCACAATTACATCTGAGCGCTCGCAATAAAAATCTAATTCAATAATGTGGGGGAAAGGAGGAAATTCAAACTGAGTTGCTCGTGTAGGCTGATAACTATAACTCATATCTACTGGAATCTCAGGCGTTACATGAGTGTGCATGTGTGTCACTGACAGAAAGAAATGAAACAAAA